ACCGTACATATCCACAAACGAAATGGACCACCCCAGAAAGGTGGAAAACCGACACCGAACACCGACGCCGTATCACCATCTGACTGAAATTCTACTTTTTTTTAAATTTAATTTTGAAACTGTTTTAAAACATTTTCCTAAACTATGCTACTATATATATTTCTCCATCCAGTGAATAAATGAAACTTCTGGAAATCTTCGTGAAGCCAGAATAAATTCGAACTTTTGAGGTAACATTTTTTCTCGCTCGGCTTTACAAGCTGGCTTCATAGAAAGGTAATAGTTCTCTCAAAAACTTTCTTTGCTTCCTCCACCTATTGAATTGTATTCATCTATTTCACATATTATTTTGTCGAAAATAAAATTAACTACTGAAAGTGAACAAGCAAGCTTACCGGTGATGAAATGACGCCTTCTTCAAGGCAAATGGCTGCTTCATTTACATAACGACATAATATTCGAAGTTGACGATCGAGAACACTGCTTCTATAAAAAAAGTTTTATCGCACCAAAATTATGCTTAATGTTGGTATACATAAATGTGTTAGTTAAAAAACTTTGCAAAGACTACGGAGTTTATATTAAACTAAAGACTGAATCTTACACGCTCAGAAACCAAATAGCTTACACTGTCGAAACAGGAGTTAATTGGTGCTTGCGAAGAATTCTTATTGCTGCCTCGTTTACAGGCTTCTTTTTAGCAAAAATACCGAGCCTTTTGGAATCATCGTAGATGAAGTACCCTTTGCCCGACTTGCGACCTTTGAACCCTGATGCAATCATTTCTTCCAATACTGTAATCGAGCCACCACCAATTCGTGGACCTAATGCCTGGAAGTGTGTGTAAACTGAAAAAAATCAATTTCTATGAGAAATTCCTTTAATAAACAGATCATCCATATGACTGTGTTACCGATCTATGCTTTCTACATGGGAACACTACACAATAAGGTACTGAAGATAGGTTATATCAATTTAGCAGGTGTTGATGTTGTCTCACCCATTCTATTTCCAATACACCCCAAAAGGATGGGCCAAGTTCTTAAGGGACAGTAATTGAGCAGCTCAGAACCGTGATTGAGGAATTCAGATCACTACAACCGAATGTTGAGTTCACTTGATTATCAATTTTACGACTTTATTAATTGCTGTTCTCACCTCTCCCAGAAACTTCGCAACATGATGTGCCACATCAATCCCTACTTCATCTGCAAGCGTTGCCGCACCAACTGGAAAACCGTAATTTCTTGTCACCTCATCAATTTCATCTGGATGAACACCTTCTTGAAGTAATCGAACAACTTCACTCATCATTGGAGCTAAGCAACGGACGACAAAAAATCCCGGACAGTCCTGCATTCCAACATTGAAATTGTCAATTTGGTCAAAAGTTTGAGTTTAACTTAAAAATGAAGAACAATGAAGCATTTGTTTCAGCTTGCCACAAATGAGTAAGAATAAAGAAGTGTCACAAAGCTCAGATTACCCAGTTGCTTTTATTACCCCTCACTCAGATTATCCATGAATAACAATACCACAATATCGCAGTCTTTCGATCACTGATGTAAAAAGAACAACGTAAAGCTATTGAAATGATCAATAAGTTTGGACGGAAACGACCAAAAAAATCTGGAGAATATTTGCTTCTATAATATATGCACGAATTCCAACAAAAAGAGAAGCCAAAAATCTAAGAGCTAGATTGAAAAATCTAAGAGCTAGAAAAATTTAAGAGCTATTCTTCAATCTAAGAACTAGGAGATCTAAAATTGGGAGACATATGCTCGATATTTATAACTTTGCAAAATCAACTTACCTTAACCACTACAACCAATTTATTTTGAATTAATCCTAATTGTGCAGCTGCAGCGATAGCTTCCTTGCTAGTGTTTTTCGTGATTATTATTTCAAGTAGCTCCATTTTCTCAACTGGAGAAAAGTAGTGCATCCCAATAATACGCTCCGGTCGAGTGGAAACCGATGCGATTTGTGTAATTGGAAGAGCTGAAGTGTTGGATGCAATGATACAGTGCTCTGGTACTACCGATTCCAGCTGCAAGAAAAGTTTTGTGCAAAGTAGTGAAAAATTAACAAATAATTCACTTACCTGGAATCGTTTCTAAAATTTTTTCATAATGATAAATGGTCTTTCATTACTAATTTAGCTGCACATGGTATGATTTCTCTAAATCTGAACAAATCATTAACAACTTGGAAATTTGAAGGGATTTAAAACTCGAGACTTTATTCGTGGTGCCAACTACACAAAAATTTTCAGTTACATAACTTCTCGTCTCTTTCGAATTGGATTATTTCCCATAGATTCTACAAAACGAAAGGACAAATTCCCTAGTTGGCGGAACTCTCCTCAGAAATATTGCAGTTTAAGAGTTAACAAACCTTCTTGATTATTTCATGTTTCAAAGGAAGTTCTTCGAAAACAGCTTCAATAGCCACATCACAGTCATGCAAATCATCATATATACAAGTTGTTTTTAGATTGGCCATAAATTTATGTTTCTGATAACTAGTGATTTTTCTTCTTTTTACCATTCCGTCATAATGCTTGTGAATTTGATTCTGACCTCGTGCTAAGCCCTCATCATTCCTATCCAGCAGATATGTCTCAATATCTTTGTCAATCGAAACATTAGCAATACCAGCACCCATCAAACCGGCACCAATCACGGCTAACTTACTGCAAAGTTATGGTTCAAAGAAAAAAGAAACTATCAAAAACTGCAGAAAATTCCATCGTAAAGGTAATCAACTATTTGAAAAATTTCTAACAAAATAGAAGGAGTAGAGAGTGATGAAGTATTTCAAGTTATCAAGTATTTAAAATTTTTGTGACTGCGGCTTCTCTGCTGAGTAGCCTAATCGTTTCAACGCTCAGTAATTTATAAGAGTAACTACAAAAAAGATGACCATTCCAAAAATATAATTAAATTCCCCGTAAGTCTAAAATTTAAGAAATCAAGGAAAACATTGTGACTTATGGTTTAGGAGTCGAGCCAAAGTCTATTTTGACTCAAAAAACTTGGGTTAGATAGGCCTGGGCTTAACCTTGGTGCTTACTACATCAATATTTCCTACATCTTCCTACAAATTTATTCTGCTACATGTAAGCGATCTATAACTCCGATGCTTCAAACCTTTTTTTTGCCGTACTTGAATCTCACTACCCGAAATATGTTATGCCTATTTTTGCGAAACTGGGAATTATCAGATGTTTTACGTAAAAATTGAAGTCATTACTCAATTTTTTTTGATTCCCCAAACTTATTTCGTCTGCATTCGGTTCTGCCATTGAAAACACCAATGAGAGCTTTACACTGTGTTGTCTGAGTTAAGTCTCCAAAAGCCTGAAAACGGATAAATGTCGATCCCAATAAGAATGTAGAAAGCATTTAATTTCAGAAAACTGCAAATAGCTTTGAAAAAAAATGGAGTAACCTCTGATTCTTCCAGATAACCTAAATCAGACCCTTTCGTTATTCCACTTTCAACAACGCTCAGAATTTTTAACGGAGCCGGATAGTTTCCAAAAGTCATCTTCATAACCTGAAAGAAAACAGACTTACTGTGTCTTCCTTTCATCTTTAATATAAATTTGAACAGGCCGAAACCTGTAATTCAAAGGCCTTTCCGAAGGAAAATGGTAACTTACGTTTTCCTGTGCTTTTTTCAAAATAAAATGTTTGAAGAGTGGGGTTTTCGTCAGTGCATAATCTGTGGCTTTTTTCCAGAAAGATCCTTTGCGATCTATTTCTAACATTCCCATAGACAGTTGCCGCGCGGCTTCAATGGCAATCTGAAGAAACTTCTTTCATATTATATGCGGTTGTGCACGGACGAAATTCTAGTGTAAAGAAAGATGAGAAAATTGCGGGCTTGAACTAAAGATATTAAAGTATGATACAGAACTAATAAACCAAATAATTAGCTTTCGAATCCCTTTCCACTTCTCTTCATGAACTTTATTATTTAAAAAATCAAGAATTATGAGTTCCAGAAACTAAAAAAGTAATGTGGTAATGTATTTCAAATAAGAGATGAAGGATTTCGAAATAGATTCACCTGTTCAAGGTAATTGTAGTTATTTTCCTCAGCAGGCTTCACTCCAGCTCCAATAGGCTGCACAATTCGGTCGATTAAACCAATTTTCTTCGCCTTAACTGCCGGTAACGTTTTCCCAGTAAGTAACATACCAAGGGCTTCAGTGATCGATACCAGCTTTGGTAAACGTTGTGTACCACCAGCACCAGGAAGTAGGCCTAACTTTACCTGAACCAATATAAATCAGCAACAATTGTGAATGACATCTTTCAGGGAAGATTAGACTCGGTGATCTGCTTCATTGCCTCAAATCTATTAAATGGATGACAAAAATGTTATAGTTGCTAAGCTATTTGATATTGCAGTAATAGCTATAACAGCAAACAATAGAGGTAAGGATTACGAAATTTCCAAATTTTCAAAGACATCTACGATAATACTGTAAGAAGAGGTATGAACGACGATAGACTCAATAATAATGTACCTCAGGTAATGCAAACAACGTTTTTGGTACATTCATGGCAATTCGGTAATGGCATGCAAGTGCTAGCTCTAAACCACCACCCATACAGGTACCCATTATGGCTGCAACGACCGGTTTTTGACTATTTTCAATTCGTAAAAAATCCTGCTGTCCATCGGACGAAATTTTCCGAGCGTCTGCAGAACTTTTACACTGAAATATTGAAACCTTTTTTTTTGGGCAAGAATCTCTTTTGATAGAAATTGAAGTGTGAAATTTAAATGTCAGAATTTTTGAAAATTTGAAATAATTTCAGTGCCATCTTCCTTGTATACTACCCATAACACTGCAACACGGCAAGATCGATCATCATCAATAAAGAATGAAAAAACATAACTTTCTAAAAATCATTTAAGTATGCTGTGGCTCAAGTTAAGTTCATCCAACTTCAGAAGGGAAGTTGCTACAAGCTCTTGTAGTCCTTTTAAACAAATGTTAAGTTCATTGCTATAAAAATTATTGCTCACATCGAGCAATCACTACACCTTGGTATTTACCTTAGACAACATTTTGATATCCGCACCGGCGATAAATGTATTCGGCTTCCCAGATATTATCACTATCCCTTTAACAGAAGCATCGGCATCGATACGATCCATACAGTATCGCAAATCAGCCGCAACTGTTTCATTCAAGACATTTTCCTACAGAAAGAATTAAAATTCCACCGAATAGTAGTGTAACACTAAATTAGTTTCTTCGAGGAAAGTCAAAAATCTCAAAATAAAAAAAAGATCAAAGCAGGGAAAGGGTTTGCCAATTATTTCTACAAATTAGTCTACAATAAGAGCTACCAATAATAACAAGTAAACTACATAAATAGAAATATTTTGTTTACTTTCGCATTAGGAAGGTCGATTTTCACTATAGCTATACCATCTTCTACCTTTAACGTTACCGTTTCGCGGCTATTAGATTCATTCATTTCTTGATGTTTTGAGATAATTACTCCTGGTTTCATCAAAACTTTATCTGAAGAAGAAAATGGTAAAGCTCTTCCTATCTCTTTATAGCAGTAAATATGGATCTTCTCTCCAGTCTGTCTATTAGCTTCTAAGTTTTATCCGTATCAAATCGAAGATTCGAAAAGAAAATCATTGTCCAATAAAACTTGACCGTCTAATTTAAATCTAAAATTCTGAAATCGAAAAACTCACCATTCGGTTTAATATGAACATTTGTACTTGCAAGACGGACAATGCTTCGTATTACCGGTACTGCATTAAAATCACATTTAATTAAACAGTCCAGTTGAATTTTGAAAACAGTGATCAAAGGTTTCATGATTAAGCTGAGAAATGTTTCCAACTTCATTTATTCATGCTGACTTCATCAAAATGATTCAAACTATTTTCAGTGTAAAATTTTACTCAAAATCGACTAAAATGAAAATATGAGAGAAAGTCTCACTGGTTAAATATTTTGAACAACGTACTGCCACACCTCTAGCAAATAACATCGAAACCTGCAACTCAGAAAGTGAGCTGATCCAGTTCAACTGAATTCATGCTTCTATTCTTTAATTTTACGATAGCCAAAGTGAACAGTAAGGAAACAAACTACAAAATTGGGAAGATGACGGAATTTACCATATAGCGATTCAAAGAGTTTATTTCTCATACGATTCCGAAAACAGTACGGTACAGCATCCTGACAATTACTTCCTAATTATCGTCCCCTTTTATCGCTTTGTTTTCCTTCCTTCCTTTCTTTTTCTTTCCCCTCCTTTCTTTACCTCTTCCTGTTTCCTCTTCAATTCATCATTACAGAAGAATTTTGTCGGGAAGCATGGGTTCAATCAGGTTAACCTACAAATTATTTAATGACGGGCTTGCTTCGCGTAAGCCTACTCTGTTACTCTCATCAAAGAATTCACAACCAATGAAGAGTTTTATCAAGGGAATTCCCAGATTCATGATAAGGAATCCCAGAAGCTGGCCGAATCCTATATAATGGATAGTGGAAGTCTTACGGAAGGAAGAACCGCAGAAAAATATTACTGCACCATTACTTCGTCTTACTACAGACTGTTCTCTTCTGACCAGCATTTTATGGGTCACTCATTTTAAATTTATGGGTTTTCTTATTTGAAAAAAAAAAAAACGGAAAGGAAATCTCGTTCAATATTATCGTCCATCTCATTCTGTCCCGTATTCTAAGCAATCTTAAGTTCGCATTGGTTTCTTTTTCATTCATTTCATTTCTATTTCTGCTCTACTCCCATTCCTCCTCATATTGAAACGATCTAAGATTGTTGTTGATGATATATGTATCACTGCACCGCAAAGGGTACAAAGTACGCGTGAACGAGGATGAGATCATTGAACTGTGTTACTAACAGCAACAAACTAGAATTGAATTCATCGATCAATTGCGAAAAATGGCATGATCAACCTATTAACCTTTTACAAATCTATTAGCATTTACCTAAAATTAACCTGTTAACCTTCCTTCCCCGTTCCTACATAAATAAATTTCAATATGATGATAAGTATACAGTTATATTACTGGAAGTTATAAAAGTCAAGTTTTTTTTCCATTTTCAGTAAAAATTGATTAAAATGAACAATACATAAATATTAGAAAACTAATTTTGATGAAAATTACATTTTAAGTTATTAAATCAATGATATGAATAAATCCATGACATACAATTGAATATTTTACGAATTCATTATTCATCATTATCACAGTCACTGTCCGTACCACGCAATCCAGTTTTCGTAGCGATCACTTGGATCTCATATCCGGAATTTAAGAGTTAAGATTTTATTTGGCCGGAAAAGAATGCATTATGAGACAAACACTTAAAGTGCCAAAAATAGTGCATCCTTGCCTAAAATAAAACGGAAGAAAGAAATGAGTGTTTTTATCTATTCTTCTTGACCTCTACCGTCGCTATCACTAATAGAATGTATTGAGAGGATGTTACCACTAGCAATATGAGTTATCACGGTACCATTGGTGTATAAAACGTATACATATAACCCATCCTCAGTACATGAACTTCAACTTGACCTCAGCAATTGAACTCTGAACATAATCTCACTACTCGAACTGTGATGATTTCACTATTCGAACTGTGAGTACTGTGAGATTTCACCACTCGAATTCTGAACATGAGTTCACTACTCGAACTCTAAACTTGACCTCATTACTTTCCTACATCTTTAGGACATTTATGACAACAATTTCCATCTTCTGCTAAAAATATTACTATCATCGGTCATTGCAAAAGAAAAATATCTTATGGAATTGAAATTGGGTGACAATTACATTTTCCAGATATAAATGAGCCAAATTAAGGATAAACCAAATGAAAGAATGCGTTCAAAAGCCCTTCTCTTGATGGGATATCTTTTCGTAGCGCGTCTAAAATGCGCCGGTTTGATGACGACCTGTTTCACGGAGATGCGTTGGCATCCAAATTTGTTATTGCAAGAGAGTTCATGCATGGGTGAGAGGTGTTGTTGGTTGGAGATGTCCCGAATACAGATGTTAGTTGAATACCTGAGGTACTTTGGAAGTGTGCAGTTAACGCTGCGTAACATCTTCTTCGCATCTTAATTTTATCCTGTAATTGGTATTCTTTTCCAGTTCTGGTATTCGCTTAGCCGTATCTGGAATCTGATGGTTGAATTGAGTGGTAGAAGCACTCTTCAACATAGCTTTGATAATTCAGTTTTTATTATACCAGCGGTGATCGTTGTCGCCATTGTGGGTCAGTTTTTCTCGAAAAAAGAAAAAGAAAATTTCAACTTGATTTACTTTGCATGTGGAACTTTTTCTGCTGCACGTTATTTGGCGCAATTTTGTTTTCTTTTTTGCGGATCGATTTAACTGGAAGCTATGATAAGAACTAATTTAGTTTGATTTGAAACATGATGTGTGGTCAGATTTAGTTCCACTGAGAAATAAAACGTTCTCTAATTCAATATGGTTTAAAATTATTATGTGGATTGATACATAATTTGTTAAGAGCTGAAAACAATAGTTATGAAGAAGGAAAAAGATTTGTCAGTTGCTTCAGCTCTTGGGAGACAGCTGCCTTCATCCCTACATAATATAAGCTATTCCTCGGTCTTCATCTCGCGGTTCATGATTCTATATTGAAAATATTGTCATGACAGATTTTTCGTGAATTCGATTTTAATATAAGTGAAATCCAGCTTTACAATTTTAGCACTGGTCACATACAAGTTAACGAATTCAATAAAATTGAAACAAAAGCGCGAAGAGGAAAAGAGGCGTAAACGAGGAGAGAAATCTAAAAAGAAGAGTTGATCCAGTGAGAGACTCAGCTAGATGATTTGTGTTGATACAGAATTACAAAATGCACGTCACTGTAACTTATTGCGTTTCCCAATAGTATTATCTTTTTGTGCATTCAGAATGTTTTCCACAGTTTTTGGATAATTGTTGTTTGATCCCTTTGGCAGAAATGAAAAGAATGAGTGCTTCATGGGATATATCAATTTCAAGGATCTTGAGTTGATTATTATCTCTATTATTTAAACCTGTCCATCAATTTTTGCTATGGTTGTGAAGAAATAACCATCTTATTGTGTGATTTCCCGGAACGAATTCAGTATATTGGAAAATATAGATGATACGATATAGTATTGTCATTCTTTTGTAAGGTTTTCTTTTGAAGTTTGTTATTTCGGTTTCATTTTTCTGTTTCATAACTTATTTTTCCTCATTTATCTGTCTAGTTATCTTTTCTGTGTATGCATAACATATCAGCGGGGTGTGGAAGAGTTGTATTTATTACCGGCAATGGGATTGAAATGCAAAGAATTTGGAGCTTTAAGAAATTCTAACTGGGTGAATTATCACTGTTCCGTCTCGTGAAAGAGTGGTCTTGAATTTAATTTCGAGTCCCAAGTTTTTCTACTGCTCAGATTTCTTATTCGTCACTATTGTTCCTATATCCTGTATCTTCTTTTTCCGTAAATTCTTTATGTGATGTCAGTGCAAAGATATTTTTGTTCTTTGTTATTTTTTTTTTTT